ACACAATGTAAGCCTGGCTTTACACATTGTAAGCCTGGCCCATACACATGTAAACCTGGCTTTACACAATGTAAGCCTGGTCCTACACCATGTAAGCCTGGCTTTACACCATGTAAGCCTGGCTTTACACAATGTAAGCCTGGCTTTACAGCATGTAAACCTGGCTTTACACAATGTAAGCCTGGCTTTACAGCATGTAAACCTGGCTTTACACAATGTAAGCCTGGCTTTACACAATGTAAGCCTGGCTTTACACCATGTAACCCTGAGTTACACCATGTAAGTCAGGCTTTACACAATGTAAGCCTGGCTTTACACCATGTAAGCCTGGCTTTACACCATGTAAGCCTGGCTTTACACAATGTAAGCCAGGCTTTACACCATGTAACCCTGAGTTACACCATGTAAGCCTGGCTTTACACAATGTAAGCCTGGCTTTACACAATGTAAGCCTGGCTTTACACCATGTAAGTCAGGCTTTACACAATGTAAGCCTGGCTTTACACCATGTAAGCCTGGCTTTACACCATGTAAGCCTGGCTTTACACCATGTAAGCCTGGCTTTACACCATGTAAGCCTGGCTTTACACCATGTAACCCTGAGTTACACCATGTAAGTCAGGCTTTACACAATGTAAGCCTGGCTTTACACAATGTAAGCCTGGCTTTACACCATGTAAGTCAGGCTTTACACCATGTAAGCCTGGCTTTACACAATGTAAGCCTGGCTTTACACCATGTAAGTCAGGCTTTACACCATGTAAGCCTGGCTTTACACCATGTAAGCCTGGCTTTACACCATGTAAGCCTGGCTTTACACCATGTAAGCCTGGCTTTACACAATGTAAGCCTGGCTTTACAGCATGTAAACCTGGCTTTACACAATGTAAGCCTGGCTTTACACAATGTAAGCCTGGCTTTACACAATGTAAGCCTGGCTTTACACCATGTAACCCTGAGTTACACCATGTAAGTCAGGCTTTACACAATGTAAGCCTGGCTTTACACAATGTAAGCCTGGCTTTACACCATGTAAGCCTGGCTTTACACAATGCAAGTGGGTGATTAATACCAGTCCTGTAAAGAGGAGGTTTCACTCTATCAGTATGGTCTTTACTGAGAGGCTTGCTATCAACAGCGCATCCAGATCAATACAAGGTATTAATAGGCATCCAGGGTACTAAGACTCACCTGGGATTGATTTGGTTATTTCCCAAAAGGGAATGGGCTAACAATACTTATTAAGCTTTAACAAAATTAGTTGAAGATTAACAGGTATTGTTGATGGGAATATTCAGCAAGGCGTATGAATACTGTGGATAAGTTGAGTAAGAGTACTGAAGCTTAAGAACAATAAATGTAGACAAGATTTATGTTGGTTACGTGTACTGTATCAATATAAATGTTAGCTGGTTTAACTGGTGTCTGAATATTCTGGGGATTAATCCGTGAAAGAGGCACGGATTACAAGTTCCAGAATACTGAAGGAGGGAAAGAATGAGCGCTCAGAATCAAGGGAGCTTTGGCCAGGAGAATGAGCACATCAATTGAGTGACTGATCATTATTTGTCATGATCTGTAAGTGACATCATAATTGTGTACTAGTTGCTCTTGATGTGTACTTAACAGATCCTCTAATAATGTAGTCATAATTGTGATCAGTGCATGTATTGAATGTATTAATTCTATTGACACTTAATACTTACTATTTAATACATGTACATATTTATTTGTAATAATATTTGACCGTGAAAATACTGTAGAAGAGGGATAACTTGTGGTACAGGTATTTCACAGACAAAGGAGTGAAAGGTAAGTGATAATTACTTATGTAGAACACAGATATGTATTTAATAGATAAGTAATTTAACAGATAAGATAAATATAAGATAAATAAGATAAGTTAATAATAATGATAAGATAACAAGAGGTAAAGGTAATCAACATTATGGATAAGTACTTATGTACATAAGTACAGGTGTTGCAGTTACTTGGTACATGAAAGGTACTGTGACATGTACTCTGTGGCTGACACCAGGCTTTACACCATGTAACCCTGTGTTACACCATGTAATCCTGGCTTTACACCATGTAAGCCTGGCTTACACCATGTAACACCATGCTTTACACCTTGTAATCCTGGCTTTACACCATGTAAGCCTGGCTTTACACCAGGTAACCCTGTGTTACACCATGTAACACCATGTAACACTTCGTTACACCATGTAACACCATGTAACACTGTGTTACACCATGTAACACCATGTAACACTGTGTTACACCATGTAACACTGTGTTACACCATGTAACACTGTGTTACACCATGTAACACTGTGTTACACCATGTAACATGTTACACCTGACTTGTCAGACATACCTGTCTGACAAGTTTGACTTGTCAGACATAACTGTCTGACAAGTTGGACTTGTCAGACATACCGTCAAACTTGTCAGACATACATGTCCAATGAGACAGAATCCTAGGACTTGGAACTGTCAGACATGTATGTTTGACAAGATATCATGTCAGCCAGATGGTCTGACAAGCTCACTGGTCAAACCAGCCTGCCCAACAAGTGGGAACTGGTTGGACAGGCATGTCTGACGTGTTGTTGGACCAAAGATTCTGATCAGATGGTCCAAGGACCCATCAGACAGCCCTGTTTGACGTCAGGGAGGTCTCATCAGTCTGACATGTTGTAGGACCCACTTGTTCTGGGACTCATCAAGCAGACTGGTCTGACCTCTAGTCAGGCATGGGGGGTCTGACACCCAGGCCCAACCACTCATCAGACAGGCAAGTCTGATGACTGCTCAGACAAGCCTGTCTGTGCACTTGTCAGACAAGCCTGTCTGATTGAATGTTTTATGCAGTGTTGGTCAAGTGGTGCAGAATAGGTCGCAAAAAATGAATATGAAAAAATAAAAACAAAAAACAAAGTTTCAAATTTTGTAAAAAATAAAAAATAAAATTGATTTTTTTCAAAAGCTTTGATATTCATTTTGGGGAAGTGTGAGTGCAGAGAGAAAGAAAGAAAGGGAAACGGGAAGAATTATTATAAATGAAAATTTTGGAAAAAGTGGTTACCAAGTAGTTTTAACCAGTTGTTGAGTGGGGCATTCACCAGCTCACATGGCAGTAAAGCACTAGAATTTACTGTTTTGACTCCAATCTGGACAACCAACCTGGCTCAACCTTTTTTGGTTCCAATTTTTTTTCATTTATAATCATTCTTGTCATGTTCCACTCTTTCCTTCTCTCAGCACTCCCACTCCCCCAAAATGAATAACAAAGCTTTTGGAAAAAACATTTTGATTTTTTATTTTTCACAAATTTTGAAACTTTTTTTTTTGCTTTTATTCTTCATGTTCATTTTCTGGGACCTATTCCTCACCCCTTCACCAAGTCTTGTGACTTGAAGTTTGTGCTTTGAAGCTTTAGAATCCAAAACAAGCTGCCAAAAATAACGGTCCACCCACTGTACATATGTAAGTAATAATATCTCTAATTTATAAGTAAATGCTATGTTCAGGCTGGCTCAGATTAGTAGCAGGCTGACAATACTTGTAGTGTTTGATTTCTGAGGCTTGCCAACATTTTTTTGCCACCTGGTTATTAGCAGATTGAGTGAATAGGAGGTAGTTGACATGAATGAGGCGCCCTCTGACACCTCCAACTCCAGTTCCAACGGTGGGTCCTCTTCAGGGGGCTGAGTCATTTAACTATTGATATGAGGAGAGTTGAATTGAGATTGCTGCATCAACAACTGTGATTGTCCCAAAGGCATGGAGGTTGGGCTGTGCAGCCCCGACAAGGGGCTGGTAAGCTGGTGCTGGCTATTATTTCACCAGGCCATTGGCACCGTTTGGATCTGACCTCTGACAGCTACTCAAACCATTGGCTGAGATTGCCTGGGGTGCAAGACTTGATTCTGGAGTTCTGGGGGGTACCCATTGAGAGCGGCCCCGCCTTGACTATCAAACCGGAAGACTACCGGTTGATAACGTGGTTGATTTGGTTGAGATGGCCCCAGCCAGGAATTTTGGGATTTGGAAGTCAAACCCTGATCATACTCAAACCGCTCCATTCTGCACCCACAATCAGCATATGTACCATCCCACAACTCAATTGGCAACAGCAGAATGCCCGCTTCTTGAAACACTGGGCTATTTAATGAAGGACAACAAATGTGGTCAGTGTTATATCAGTATGTAAGTAATCCGCTTGATCACTTACGTCAAGAAGGTCCGGTTCCAATCTTAGTTTTCCCAAACCCTCACTGGCTGCTGGGATGGTGGATCAGGTCCTGCTTGTGGTTTGAGAGGGGGGGGGACATGCAGCCGCCGGCCGACTTGTTATCTGAAAGTTATTCCAATATCTTCTCAGTACAGGCCTGTATTGGAAGATTTTTTTTGTTGGATTTCAACCAGTCCCAGAAAGCATATATACGTGTGTCCTCCATCATCATCATCATTCAAAATAAAAATAAAACTCACTGCATATTTGTAGGTATGAGATTGTCTTTCTTGTCTTATTTTCTATCATTAAAAGTCTCCTCATTGCCTATTTTATCTAACTGATTTATTATTGTTTTTTTTCCTCTTCTCATTCATTTTCTCATCTGTTGTTCAGGTATGTTGTAAAAGCCCAGAGTCAGAAGTCGTTGTTGTTGAGTTACTTATCAGGTTCTATCTTTATCAATAAATGTTTGCTATACATATAATTTATTTTCTTTCATCTTTCATTTTTTTTATTTATGATCAATAATAAATAGGGTCTCAGTTGAACGGTGCCCAAATATTTGAGTTCCAACTCCCAAATATTTCGGACATCGCCATGACCCGCTGCGGACGGTCTGCAGGTTGTCCACCCCCAGAGATGGGAGTCAGACCTCCGAACCCTTCAACAGGTTTGGGAGTCAATCCTCCCAAAAAAAAAAAAAAAAAAACCCCAGGGGTTTTTGGGAGTTGATCCTCAAAAACCCCCAGGGAGATTGGGAGTTGGCGCCGGACTCTCAGCCGCGGAGAGGAATCCCTCTCCACCGTTGAGAGTGTATACTCTCAGCGGCCAAGAGGGATTCATCGCGGCCACTGAGAGTGTACAGGAGGGATTCCTCTTGGCATGCAAGAGATTCCTCCCGGCCGCTGAGAGTGTACAGCTCTCAGTGGCCAAGAGGGATTGGTCAGCCAGACAGGAACTATTTCACCGATAGACAAAAGCAACGCTGTAACAGATACAATACACTGTATGTATCATGGAGAATTCTGCAAAGCTGCATGGCCAAAAACCAAATTTGTTCAATCTCCTTGCAAATCAAAGCAGATTGGTCAGATAGTTTTTTTTATTGCGGCTCAGATGCATAGTGATACATGGCAGATACCATATCTGTTTCAGCGTTGACAAAAGGCTATCTGGAGGACAAACCGATTGCATCGACTGGGGTGAATAGGCACAAGGTGAAAAGATAGGTAGCGAGTCAGTGTATAAGAACTTGAGTGAGTGATTGAGAGAATTGATCAGACTTACCAACATCACCAAACTGGCCGAAAGCAGATTTCAGGGATCCCAAATCAGTCTTCCAGGCCAGATCGCCAACAAAAAGCTTGTTACTGCCGGAAGGAGAAGACATGCTTTATAGGGTGCGAGAATGGAGAATGGAGCTCAAGACACAAGATGAGGGCTTGAATAGAGATCTCAACATTCAATGGGATGTGTGAGAGGAAGAGGAAGGTCTGAGACTGTAAATGGTCAGATGAGAAAAGAGGACAGTGAACAGAGAAAAGTGGATGATGAGTTGAACTGATTGGAAAGCTCTTTACTCTTGCCAGTCAATAGGAATTCCTCCCAGCCATTGAGAGTGTACCTCAGCGGCAGAGAGGAATCCCTCTTGGCCGCTGAGAGTGTAAACTCTCAACGACTGAGAGGAATCCCTCTTGGTTGCTGAGAGCTGTACATGTACACTCTCAACAGCCGGGAGGAATCCCTCTTGGCCGCTGAGAGTGTACACTATCAACGAACGAGAGGAATCCCTCTTGGCCGCTGAGAGTGTACACTCTCAACAACCGAGAGGAATCCCTCTTGGCCGCTGAGAGCTGTACGTGTACACTCTCAACAGCTGGGAGGAATCCCTCTCGGCCGCTGAGAGTATACACTCTCAAAAGCAGAGAGGGATTCCTCTCCACCACTGAGAGTCTGGCGCCAACTCGCAACCTCCAAGGGGTTTTTGAGGATCAACTCCCAAAAACCCCCAGGTTTTTTTATTTTTTGTTGTGATGATCGACTCCCAAACCTGTTGAAGGTTTGGGAGGTCCGACTCCCATCTCCAGGGGTGGAAGGCCTGCAGACCGTCCGCAGGGGGTCTTGGCAATGTCCCAAATATTTGGGAGTCAGAACTCTAATATTTGGGTTTTGTTTAACCAAGACCCAATAAATAAACATGCCTATTCAAATAAAAAGTGGATAAAGAGACTGACTTATTCCTACGTGTGTCCTCCTTCATCATCCATCATCATCATTCAAAATAAAATTAAAACTCACTGCATATTTGCAGGTGTTTTGGAAAAGCAAGTCATTGTTGCCAAGTTACTTATCAGGTTCTATCTGTCAGCCTATGTGATGCCAAGACAGATGTCTTCTAGCTACACAAGGTGAAAAAATTAAGAGTTTTTATGGTAAAAATTGGTATAAGTAATTCAGAAGAATTACGTGAAAATTATGGATTAAATCCAAAAAGTGGCCAATTTGTATTAATAAAATTAATATAAATAAAACCAGAGGGGCCTGATAAATCAGGGGTGGTTTAATCCCTCTAAGTTATCGTGCAAAAAGCAGAGGATTTAGGTACCTGATACACTGGGGCCTGTAGCAGGTGTAGTTTAAATCCCAGGAGATAATTTTTAGGGGAAAATCTTCAAGAAAGGGTTATAATCCAAAGGGGTCTTGAGGATCTTCTTAGTAGAAACTGGACAGTTGGGAGCGCTCGGAATGGTTGATTTTGGGTGCTGGGTGATAACTGGGGAGTTTCTTGAGGAATCTTGAGGCTTAATAACAGCAAAAATAGTAATAACTAGGCTAATTACAAGTGTAGGGGACTTGTAAATGGTAAGTATGTTTCTATATGGTATTGTAAAGCTGGGGGATCATTATTTGGGCGGTCAGAAAGCCCTTTAAATACCTGTGGAAGACCTCAGGGGTTGCTCAGGGGAGCTTAGTAGGACTTGGGGGCGCTTTTGGGCTCATTTTGGCCCACATGGTGATGTAACCAGGGCTGGAACCTTGGGGATAATATTCCAGAAGCTCCAAGGGGTCATGCACAAAATTATTACATCCAAGAATGTCCCATGGGAACCTGTGGATAGGGGCTACTCTGTTTCGTGGAGCAGGTTCCTTGGAAATGGGCCACAGAATATTCCAGAGATGTCTTCTGAGGCTTGCTTGGAATATGGTTACTGTAGTATTTTCATGGATATTCTAGCTTGTTCAAATTCTTATTACACGTGTGGGGGCTTTGTTGTCACATGCAATGGGTATTCTGGGGCTTTTGTGGCCCAATCCTTGGATACCGGTGCACAGCATGACTACATGGCGCGTGGGCTTGGAGACAGAACTCCACACTGCTCTATCTTCTAAACCGTTCACAATAATCCAATTCTGAGACTGGATTTGGAGTATATGCATTACACATTATGCAGAAGTGTCACAGTACCCGTGATCTGGGGGTACCTGTTAATTATTCATGCATGTATTACAGGGTGAAGGAGTTAGAATTTGGGGTACCTTTGGCTGAGGTACCCTAGGTTAAATTGTATGCTGATTCAGAATCTGAAATAATATTGAAGTTTTTGTTTATACTTTTTAAGTTATTTATTTATCTTTATGTATTTTATCTTATTTACATAAGTAATATTGTTTCTTTTACTTATGTAATATTTTTAATTTATACTTAGATTTTTTATGTAATTTATTATTTTATTTGCTATGACAGGTTGTCTCTGCCATAGTAGAAAGCTGATACTATCTTTATCAATAAAGGTCATACTTTGGATTATTTCAATTATCACATGGTAGCAAGAGATCCAAAATATCCAAAAAATCTAGATCCATCCCTGAACAAGTCCAAAATTGAAACGCACAGAAGACTGCCACCAAAAATGCAGCCAATAGCGGAGTACTCGTCCTTGTAGCAGATCAAGCTCACGCTTTTGCAATGTCTTCCATGCTGAATAAAATTGAAGGGATCAAAAACTTAAACGACAACAAATACACATCATGGGATAACTGAACAGTATATTCTTCAATAGCTATCTCACCAACGTCTATCATGAGGATTACAAAGTCAAAAATACAATAAACCACATCAACCAAAATTGTATCCTTGAATTCCTATTCTCTAAGATGGATGAAACAAACGCTGCAAGTTTTTGAGCAGGTTTACTTGACGTCAAGATTCCACTCTTTAGAGGAATGATACCACCTACCAAAGAAGTGTTGTAAATCCACTCGGATGTCAGGTACATCCAACCTCCTTCCATCATACTCAACCTCAATCCACTCCTCATCTCAACAGCTCCAATGCTGGTACTCATTGCTTTCACACAAACTCAACAAACATTCCCAACATTCAGGCGGAACTCATTCATCAACATCCTTTCAAACAGAATCAGTGATTGGAAAACTGAACACAACAGTTTAAAACCCCTTTCAAACTTTCTTAACTCATTTCCTCTTTGTCGACTGTGCCTTTCTCTACATGCTTCTGAATATCCTTTGTACACTACAATACATGATTGTCTCCAAATATTTCTACATATTTATAGCGCTGCCTGACTGCTCACGACTGGTTTCTCTCATGATTATCTAACTATACGGAATTCATAGCCATACATTCCTCATCTTTTACAGTCACTGACTCGCCACGGTCAGACTCCTATCTCACTTCACATCATCCCTGACATGATTTCCCAGATGGGAAATCTTGTAAATTTTAGGGAAATCCTGTAAAAAAAATTAAAGATTTTTCCAGATTTTTTAGATTTTTCCAGATGTTTTAGATTTTTTCAGATTTTTTAGATTTTTCCACATTTTTTAGATTTTTCTAAATTTTTCAGATTTTTCCAGATTTTTTAGATTTTTTCAGATTTTTTGGATTTTTCTAGATATTAGGGGGTAAATATA